ACAATCTACTCGGGTGGCAATTTCCACATTTCTACCATGTACGTCTGGGTCACCCTCCGCCTCTTCCAAGCCATCGATGCCCACTCTGGATACGACTTCCCCTGGTCGCTCCAGCACATTCTTCCATTCTGGTCGGGTGCTGATCATCACGACTTCCACCACATGGCCTTCACCAACAACTATTCGACTTCCTTCCGCTGGTGGGACCACCTCTTTGGCACCGACGACAAGTACCGGGCATACAAGGCCAAGTTAAAGGCTGCCAAGGCCCAGGGCAAGGACCTCAAGAAGTACGAGCAAGAGCTACTCGAGGAGACAGAAAAGGAAGGTATCATCGCCGAGCAAAAGGCGGAACAGACTGGTGTATGGAGCAAGGCTGCTAGCAAGGTTAAGGTTCAATAGAGAGCTCGTGTGTAGAAGGACTATAAGGGTTATTTTGTCAACACTAGAATTATACGATGTCAATATTTTTCACAAAAAAGAATCCAATCGATTCGTTCTTAATCGAATACCCTTTTACATAATGGATGGTTTTCCAAAGCGGTCATATTCCCTGAGTGTCAATTACGAATCAGCTATACATTATGTCAAACTCAAAAAGTCCATTCCGACTGGTCGCCCATTTCATGAGGTCCGTAGTCTACTTTCACCGTCCTCGGGAGTTGTACAAATAAAGGTGGCAGAGGGCGTTCCCTGGCCTAGTGCAAAGCACTTTGTACCGCTAGCACAGGGCGTCACTGTCCACCTACCCCATACACATTGCGCAAAGCCATCATTAATACACGCTTGCTCCCCGTGATTACAGGAATCCTCTGCTCGAGGAGTCCCCCCTGTACTCTGTCGAGTGTTTGGAGCGGGGGGTTGTTGCTGCTGCTGGTGTTGTGCATCTTGATGTGTTTGCGCAGGTGGATGGGGGTCATTGGGGTTTGTACTTTGACTCGGCTGAGAGGAAGGAGGCAATTGTCCTTTAGACTGATCACCATTAGCCGGCTGTTGCTGTTCCCGCTGCTGCTGCTGCTGCTGCCGCGTTGGTGGCTGGTGTGCTCCTTGACTCACTTGCGCAGCAGGAGGATGCGTGTCATTGGGGTTTGGAGTTTGATTCGGCTGGGAAGGATGAGGCGATTGTCCATTAGACTGGTCAAGTTTTGGCGGCTGTCGATTTCCGTCGTTCGGAGTTGATTGA